ATCAAAATATATGAAATCTTTTCTTTGATAATTAATACCATTCAATATATCAGCTTTCTTATCACTCAAAATGCATGACTTCTTATTATTCTATTAAAAATGTGTACCCTTTCTAGTGTCTGTCCCAAAAACAATACGTATAATGTGTGAAAAAACATTAGTGACATAATCTATTAAAATATTAAACATAAGAATGTAAAAATGAAAAGGAGCGAAAAGTATTTTAAGATAATACAATTTTACAGTAATTTTATCTCTAAATTTTCAGAAATTACAGCACCATGTCTTAGACAATTATTAAACAAGCCTAGTCCAAAGCAGATAACGTGGTAACAAGAGCGTGCAAAACCTTTAAATCTAATCAAAGAATGTTACAATCAATAAAATATTGGCATCACCTGATTTTTAAAAAAAAATTGTTCGAAAAACTCATGCAACTAATAGAGAAAATGGAGGTTTAATGCAAGTATTGCAAGAGGTCAGTAAAACACTTAAACCAATATTGTATTTGAACAGAGCTTTAAATGATTCAGAAATAAATTATTCAATAACTGAGAAAAAATGTTTAACTATAGTCTGGTCATTAACAAAACTGCAAAAATATGTGATTTCTATCACTGATGGATTTTAAAAAATAGCTAATATGAAAATTCATAGATGGTCAATAATTTTTGCTATCTCTGAGACATAAGATCAATTACAGTAAAGAAAAAGATAACATTGTAGCATATTTTTTATCCAGAAAAATTTAATTAAGCTAAGATGACAAAGACTTAAACTTAGATTACATTAACCAGATATTGTGGAATTTTTATTCAAGAATGTTGTTACTATAACATTAGAATATTATATTTCAATTAATGTAATTCTGATTGTTTTTAAAATTCGCAATGTTTGACTGATATGCTTCAGCTCATGAATTTGAACTCAGTTTGTCTGGACCAAAAAATATAACATTTTATGCCTTTTATTAAATGTATCTCATACTGATAATCTAAAACTGCTTGATTTGAATATTGGCTAATTTCTTTTAGTTGAGTGCCAACTCTGGTTTTATGTTATATAAAGGCTTATTTCTGCACATAAGAAAAAAATTAAAATATCGTTCTTTTAAATGTCACTGTTATCAATGACATTTCAGTTTATTTGGATCAATAAAATACATTATCCAAAACAATTTGTCTTTGTTAGCATTAATATTAAAGGCAAGATAAATTTCAATATGTTTATCTGATATGTATTTTCTTTTAATTGCACTGAAAGGTTAGATGTAATAACTGAAACAAAATTCTGCCAGTTTAGCTACCAAATTCAACATAAAATCCGAATCATATTCAATAATCTCAATAAATAAAGGATTATTGCAGTCTAAAAATACAACAATTAGGGCTTTATGCAAATGTGTACAAAATAATTGGCATTGTATTTGAAAATAATAGGGATGATTATGTTTGAGTACAAATGTGTTTGGCTTAGTGTTAAATAAAAGACAGAATGTATCAGCTCATTCTGTGGCTAAGTCAGTAAGTGACAGGCGTTTAGGATTAAATAAACCTTTTATTTCTACAACCATAAGATCATCTGAGTGATACGATAATCCAATCAGGAGAACACGCCATAAACGGGTAGAGGGGATTTACAACAAGGCCAGTGTTTCTATATGCAAAACTAGAAAATTTAAATCGTAACATATTTTTAACGAAGGTTTCTAAATTCTTGACAAATCTAATAGGAGGTGGGTGGAAAATAACTCTTGAGAAAATGTTAATAATATCTTGACTCGTAATATCAAGATCTCGTGAGGTTAATATAGCATCTAAATATCTGCTATTGAGGCTATTAAATTATCACCACAATATTTTGTAGTTATGGTCATACTAATACTTTGTGTGTTTTCATAAATAGCTTTCATAGATATCGCTGTATTAATATTTAGCTTAGTCAACACATTAGTCTTTCAGTGGTGGTGACGTAATTATTCCGTTGGGCGTCCAACCTCAATCACACAGATTGGAAGGGAAAACATCATTTTAAAGAGGGTCTCTAAGGCTCTTCTAACGGATCTCGAAAAATGAAACAAACAGTAATAATGGAAATATTACCACTCCCTAGGATTATTCAATATTATTTGCCTTCGCCTACGACAACATTGGTTAGCTTGATAAAGATAAATCAAAATGGATATCACACGTGAGTGAATTGAATGAAGCTAGGGTTCCAAAATTTATTTTTGAAAAGATTAAAACAAAAATAAATGATAAAAATATTAACATTCCATTAGTTTTTTCTTCAACAAAACTATTTACATTCGTCTAGGCCTAATTAAAATTTAATCAGCTAGGCGTCGAACAAAAATGAGTATCGGATTGCTGGCCTAGATACAGACGGACAATCCGACTGCTGGTAGCTGACCTGGTAACGGCAATCACTTTCCACCAGATGGCCGAAACTCTCAATCACTTTTGGCTTAAACCGAAAGTTAACCTCTCTGTTTTATGCCGAAACCGAAACTAGAACGAAAGCGATCCAATTGCAACTTTCGGCACTGAAAACGAAACTGAAGCCGAAATTCGGTCGGTCTCTAGTTACAAGTAGAAAGGACACTTATGTGTAGGCTACGGTAAAATGCTTGTTCAGTTAATATTTCTCTTGCTACCATGGTCTACATTTTTAATTATAGGAATAGGAAAAGCCCATGAAGCTCAGCTATGTGATATCTCCGATTCACTTTGTCACTGATATCATACATTAATGTCCTGTTTAAATGTGTCTATTACTTGTCTTTCATGATTTAAAAAAAACAAAAAAACTTAATAGATATACAATTATTGAACTGTATACGAGAATTCAACACGATACCATCATTTCTCGAGGGTAAATATTGTTTTTATAGCTATATATATATATATATAGCTATATATATATATATATA